TTTGTTTTCGCAACGATAGAAATTCATATAATAAAAACAGAAAATTTCTCTTAAATCCCCAAACCATAATTTAAGTTCCTCCTCAGTCCCTACTACATTTTCTTTTCCTATGCACTCCCTAATTTTAATTTTTCTTTCCTTATACTCCCCATATATATAATGCTATTATTATTGTCCTAATAATAATCTCCATTCGACGGGCACAAACGTCCTCCTCAACACTCACCAAGGCATTAACAAGGGTAATTTATGATTTTTTGTCCTAATTTTAGGACTTTTTTTTTTTCATATTTAGAGCTTTGTTCATAATTTTTATTTTTGTCTTGAATTCAAAAATTTTAGGGCTTTGAGAGTTATGAATTTCAATGAATTTATGAGGTTGAATTATAATAGGGCCTTTTTGTGTAATTAAATTTCTGTGAATTTTCATGATTTTTGGGTGTTATTAATAGGTGCTCTTTGTCATCTAATTTAATATGTTTCCGAATGTGAAATCGAGTTCATGAATTGAGTTCCAAATTTGGGTCTTTAATAGTTAATTATTAGATTTCATTGTTGCATACTAATTGCAGTTAAGACTTTCTTTATAGATGAATAAAGGCGCAAGGAAAATTAAGAAATTGAGTATTTTATAGTTAAAGTCTTTTTTCAATTTTGCTAGTGATAATCTTATTTTATTGTTTCATGTAAGTGATTTTATAATATACTAATAATCGAAAATGAAATGGCTGTTGAGATGGTTTTGCATTTTGCAGGTGTGCATGAGCACTTTGGCATAAGGAGATATTTTTGTTTATTCTTATGCATGTACTTGTTTTTTTTGGCTCATTGCAACTTTGTATTTGATGATGAATTAGATGTTAAAGGAACACAAAATTACCACAACTGCAAATAGAGTCACAGAGACGGGCATATTATTTTGTAGCCCATTTTCAGTGATATGATCCAAGTGAGTTTCATGGACAATGAGTTTTCTGGTTGATATCTGAGTTATTCTCTGTTTCTTTTTACTCAAATTAATCCTTTTGAAGCAAAAGGATTTACAAAGAAATCTTAACTAGTAGCTCGTAGTCCGTGATGGTGAATAGCAGTGCAGTGAATACTTTTGGCAGACAGTGATAAATTTGTATTCTTTGTCTTATTATAGACATATATTTGATGATCCTACGCAGTCGATACGCCTGAATTTTGGAGGGCCCAAAATACTTATTCCATTGATGCCTATCGAGAATGCATCCTCAGAAATCCTTCATGTTGATACTGTTTGGCTTATGTTGTGATATGTCCGATTGTGGTTTTTTTACTAGTCTTTGAACCATAGGTGTTATGAATGTGAATGTTTGGCTTGTCTTTGAACAATAAGTATAGACTGTTTGGATGATGGTTTTGTTTATGATGGTTTTTGGAATATGGTTTATGGATGAAAGGGAAAAAAATGAGATAATTTAATTTTTTATGTTTTTTTAAATTGATACCAAATTTTCTTCTATGTAGTACCAACATTATGAGATATTAGTACTCATTTTGTCACTGTCGAGTACCTACTTTGTAGAAAGAAAAAAAGATGTGCAAGTTCTTAATGATACTTATTGTCATCAGAATAGTACCATGTATTTGTTGTACAAGTACCTAGTTCGTAGAAAGAAAACAAAATTGATGTTCAGTTTTAAGGAAGTTATGTTTTTAAGTTTGAACTGATACCAGTTTCTATTCGTAGTAGTACCACTTTTCTTCTAATCAGTACCAGACCTAGAGTAAAAATAGATTACTTCAATTTTTGTCAACATTTGCAAAATTAGTACCAGACGTAGAGTACTGTAGTACCGATATTATGGTGTTCTAGTACCAGATATCGAGCCTATAGTACCAACTCGACGAACATAATAAAAAAAAGATTTTGGTGAAATAATACCAGATTTAACTCAAATAATACCACTTTTTTTTTCAGGCAGTACCAGTTATTGATCAATTAGTACATACACAGTAGAAAAACAAAAAATGGATTACTTTGGTTTTTGGTCAACATTTGCAAAATTAGTACTAGACCTAGAGCAAGATAGTACCGATATTATAGTATTCTAGTACCAGATATCGGGTCTTCAGTACCAAATCCGACGAACATTAAAAAAATCGTAAAATGGTACCAATTTTGACACATACAGTAGCACTTTTTTATCTATGAAGTACTTGTTACAAATTAATTAGTACTTACTTTGTAGAAAGAACAACAAATGGATTACTTCAAATTCTACCTATATGTTTTAAGTTCAACTATTTTTCAGTCAAATCACGCGTGAATGATCCCATCAGTACTTTATTTAATTTTTAGAATGTGCTTAGTTAAGTTTAATCGCAAATTGGTCACGAACTCAGCACACTAATGAAATACCACTACCAACACTTCATCTCATTAAAATAGTACCGATTTTTTGAACAATAATACCGCTTCTTCTTCTACAGGGTACCTATTTTTGATCGATTAGTACCAAGTTTTAGTCAACGAAAATAGATTATTCACTTGTAGTCAATATTCGCAATAATTGGTACCATACCCAGAGTAGTATAGTACCGAACTTTCGTGTTTCAGTACCGTATATTGGATCTTTAGTACCACTTATAATGAACACATAAAACACTGAACTTCGATTGCAAATGATGTATATATGACCAATAATCACTTTCACATTAGTTTGTATGATATTCAAAATGTTTTAAATTGAGTTTAATTGTAAAATAGTCATGATCTCGATACACTAATGACAAAACACTACTAATACACTTCACTTCATAGAATGATACACTTCATCTCATAAAACCATCATATATGACTATTCAATTTCTACCTACATGTTTTAACTTCCACTATTTTTCATCTAAATCACGCGTTAACGATCCACGTGACATGGTAGACATGAAATATTAAAAAAATCACGATTTTTCAAATAGTACCTGATTTAGCAAAGATAGTACCACATTTTCCTCTATTTAGTACCTGTTTTGGATCAATTAGTACCTACTTTTGGTCAACTAAGATGAATTATTTCAATTGTGGTCAACATTTTAAATAAGTAGTACCAGACATAGGGTGATATAGTACCACTTTATGGGACTTTAGTACCATTTTTCAAGTCTTTAATACCACATGTAATGAACATCTTAAAACACCGAACTTCGGTCGCAAATGATGTTTATACGACCCATTTTTCGGGTCTTTAGTCTCACATTTGCTTCTAAGAGAATTAAAAATATTTTTTCATTGAGTTTAATCATAAAATGGTCATGAACTCCACACACTAATGAGAAAACACTACTATTACACTTTACTTCTTAGAATGACACACTCCATCTCATAAAATCATCATACATGATTACTTTAATTTCTACCTATATGTTTTAACTTCAACTATTTTTCGTTCAAATCATGCGTGAACGATCCACGTGTCATGGTAGACATGAAGGATTAGAAAAATCACGATTCTAAAAATAGTACCTGTTTTAGCCATAATAGTACCGCATCTTCTTCTGCGTGGTACCTCTTTTTAATCGACTAGTACCTACTTTTGTGACGAAAATGGATTATTTCAATTTTGGTCAACATTTACAAAAAGTAGTACCAGACATAGAGTAAGATAGTACAAGTTTTATATTGTTGTAGTACCTGATATTGGGTTTTTAGTACCACATGTAATGAACACATAAACAAAACTGTCTCAAATGATGTTTATATGACCCATAATCACTCTGACATTAGTTTGCATGAGATTTAAATGTTTTTAAGTGAGTTTAATCGCAAATTGGTCATGAACTCGACATATTA